AAACAGGGTTTTGCCTTTATGATCATTTCAATAACATATTACCATATTATCGTAGGAGATAACCAAATTAGATATCCCAACAAAAGAAGAGAAGATTTACTGAACCTTTTCCCTTTACTAATTTTTTATCAATAAAGAACTAGTCTTCGATATTTTTTTGAAAATGCCCGAAGGGTGATCCTTTCAACAATTACTCAGTTACATCAGATTCCAAAGAAGGAATCAAAAAAGTAGGTGCTACAAACGAAGTGTGTGCTGAATAACAGGGCAAAGCATGTTTAGCGAGTCTATGGGCAACCCGATTACAAAGCCAGGGAGCAAAAGTAACTGAGTAGTCTTGAGGTGGGATAGGAATCTCTTGCAAAGCATAAGAAGAGTGTAGATACTCCATGGAGAGGTAAGGGTATCCTCCAACAAGAGATTAATCAAGAGTTGTGCATCACCTTCAACTACAACAGTAGAAATATCAAGAGAAGAGGCAAATCAAATGCTTTACAAAAGAGCTAAGGTTTCACTGAAGAGTGCAGGCTGAGGTGCTATCGGAATAGCATGTGCAAAAAGAAATGGTCCATTATTATCTTGAATAATGATACCAATGCCAGATTTATCAATAGCAGTGGCACCATCGAAATTGATTTTCACACTACCTCTTGGTGGTAGAGTCCAATGGATCGTTGTAGTTGGGGCCAAAGAATTGTTCTCATTAGGTACTACTAAAGAGTGATGAATAACATCAGAATGCAACTGCCAATCCACACAAGCCTTTTCTATAATGATTTCTGGGTATTGGTGTTGATGATTGAATATGAGGGCATTCCAAGCAAGCCAAACGTGCCAAAGGATATTGAATTACTGACCACAAATCAAACCAGAAGATTGACCATTACTCAAATCAAGAAAAATCCATTCAACAGTCCATTATGATAAGCTTCTCTCCTGGTATGAATTAGGCCTAAATCTCATAGAGGAACCAAACCATACCAATCTAGAAAATTGGCAGTGCAGAAATAAATGATCCTTTGTCTCTATAGCCGACTCACACAAAGGACATATGTTATTATAGAAATGAAGAATTTTATGGGGTTTACTTCTAGTGGGTAAAGCATTTTGGAGCAACCTCCAAGAGAAGATGAGCAATTTAGGATTGACATTTTTGAGGCTCCAGAATTGACACCAAGTAATGTTAGAAGCCAGAAATTGCTGTCTTGAAGAAGCGAGATGCATAAAGGTTAAAAGTTTGTAACCTGATGCTGTGGTATAGCATCCATGAGGTGTCAGCTTCCAAACTAGTTTGTTTGACATTTTTCCTACCTATAAAGGAAGTCGAATGGAGACAATAGATTGAGCAGTAAATGAATCAAAGGAAGCTGCAATCTGATTATTGCGCCAAGTCATAAAGGAGTGCTCAATAAACTTTGCAACTTTAATGTTGTGGCTTGGTATGGGAGCCATGATAGAGGGAATAACCCAATTTGGTAGCCAAGGGTCATGCATTGCATCAACAATCCACCCATCCCCAATAAGCCAATGAAAACCTTGGTGCAAGACATCTGTCAACTTTAAAATGCCTCGCCAAATGTACGATCTTGAGGGCAATAATGGTATAGACCAGAAATTTTCAGTCTTGACATATTTTGCCCTTAACACTTTCACCCAAAGAGCTGATGGGTTGGAAAGGAAGCACTAACCAAGTTTGAGTATCAAAGCTTCATTAAGAGCTAATGCATCACGGAATCCAAGTCCTCATCATCTTTTGATCTCAAGAATGTATCCCAAGAATGCATATGAAGACCATGCTTATCTGAGTCAAACCACCAAAAATTCGTACAAATATTATTAAGATCAATACAAATAGCTTTGGGTAAGAGATGAGACTGCATGATGTACTGAGGTACAACATGAGTGGATTTGATTAAAGTTGTGTGACCCGCATGGTTCAGAGTGTGTTTCTTCCAAGAACTAAGTTTGGACTTCAATCTTTCAACCAAATAATTCCATTCAGAAGTTTTTGATCTACCTAAGAATAGTGGGCCTCCAAGATATTTCATTGTATGGTTCATAATATTCATAGCAAAACGATTGGCCAGTTGAGTTCGCACTCGTCGGTGAGTATTAGGACTAAAGAAAATTGCTGATTTTGAAAAATTAACTTCCTGATTAGACCATTTGCAAAAGTCATTTAAAAGATGAAGAATAGTTGTAGTTTCACAATGTGTACAACGACCAAACAATTACAGATCATCAACAAATAAAGGGTGAGATAGACGAACTCTAGAGTTTCCAAAGTGGAAATCGTGCAGTGTGCCCTATTGGATGTTTTGCTCAAGTAATATAGAAATATATACTTATTTATACTTTGTAAGGAGGTCTTCGATATTTCTTAATTATTATGAAAGAACGCTATAAATATATATATGTGCCTAGAACCCTAAGGCTATGTTTGGTTTGAAGGGAAAGGATAAGAAAGGAAGGAAAACCTATATAAAGTTTGTAAAGGTTTCCCCACTTTTTCCTTCAAACCAAACACAGCCTAAGTGAAGGGTCTGCAGTTTGTGCCATCCTTTTTATATATCCTCGATTGCGATGTTCAATACAAGTTCCGTCCTTTGAGGGATCAAACCTCAATATATAGAATTGGCTACTCCCTGCCCCTTGCCTGATCCATCAATACTACCTACTATTATTGGTTTGGGAGAAACTTTGAAGAGAAGAGGAGAGGATTCTTTTTAACATGGTATAGAGGGAAAAATAAGGGTTTTTCAAAAATTAAATAGGTCATCTGATGCCACATTTAATAGTTATTAACGTGTTAATAATAATAGAAGGTAATTTAAGTCCACTAGGGTCAATTCGCTAAGTATGTTTAAGTTTATTTTATGTTTTAAAGGGTAAATTTCACAAATCACACATAAGATGATGATTATGATTAAAAATAGGGAGAATCTATGATGCAGAAAAGATATGATATGGAAAGAATTTTGACCAATCAAAACCCACCCATGGATTTTGATAAATAACACCTTATTTGCTATCACGTTTATAATTTCAGTTTATTGGTCAGTTGTTTTTCCATATCATAGTGGAACCCTTAAAAATACTAAACAGATGGCCTCCATGTCTTCTTGTACTTCCAACACTGAGTCAGAATTTGTATATCAGCCAAGAGAATGGTTCTAATAGATACCAGGATCAGTTGGCCTCCATAGCTTCCTCTGATTTACATCCAAGCAACCAATCAGCACATGATAGATTCCTTTCACCAGTTCTTAGCGCTAACTCCGAATTGTGTAGGGGTGTTGATTGGACTGGATTTGGTCCAATCCAATCCAGTCCAATGTGAATCCATTACAAATGGATCAGGTCCAATCCAATCCAATAAATAATTTGGATCATTTTGGATTGGTCCAATTCAATGTTCAGACCATCCAATTTATTCAAATTCATTTTAATTTAGATTGGTTTTAACTCAAACTCAGTCCATTGATACATATATTCTTATCTTATATCAATGGACCGTGCATTGGCTTAATCCAACCAAATTCAACATAAATTTATTATGGAGTACGGGCGGACCAGGTCCAGTCTAATCTAATAAATATTTTGGACCAAATTGGTCCAATCCACTTTGTCTTTTTGGTCCGTCCAATCTATCCAAATTGATTTTGGACTAGACAGGGTCCAGTCAAAAACCAGTCCATTGACACCCTTACTTGTTTGGAAGCTCGGATTGGTATTCATAAATAGGCCTTATCAGATTGTGGATAGGGGTGCAATTTGGGTTGGTTTAAAATTTATTATATTTGAAATGGGCCTCAACCCTAATTTGAGTCCAGGCCAGCTCAGGTTTTTCACCATTGTGGATAAGGGTGCAACTTGGCTCGGGTTGGACTGAAAATTTGTTAAACTTTTAATGGGCCCTCCTTACCCCAAATCCCCTTTCTTAATTTCCTGTTTTTTTTGATTTTTTTTTAATTTCACATAATTAACTATTAAACCAATAAAACTTAACTATTTCTAATAATCATAAATAAAGAATTATTTACTTTTCTAACGTTTAGCTCTGTCAGTCTGAGACACTGTCAAAGTAAAAAAGAATTTTAGATTTTTAATCATATATGTGAAATTTTGAGATTTCACCTATTTTTAAAAAAAGACCTATTCATGAGCTGAAGAAACTAACGGACTAGTCCTGCCTGGCCCATTCTTTATTGCACATGGACAAAATTTTAGGCTTATGGGTTCAGGCTTATACTTTAAGCACCAGAACATCAGACCCAACTATTAACTATTTTTTGAACCAGGTTTATATTTTTTTAAATAAGCGCAGTCCGAATCTGAGTTCTGTCTGATAATATAATATTAATTTATTATGTTATTATCGAATTATTATAATATTAATTTATTAAATTACACCTTTAGGGAGGACTTCTTATAAGTTATATCTAGAGCGGGATTTGGGCTCAGGCCCAGTCTTGAAGCTTTACTTAAGGGTTAATCCTAGGTTTAAGATCTAGGCCTGATGTTTGGGCTGATTTAGGTTCGGGCCTAAACATTTTACCTGACCCTGCCAGTGAAGAGAAGAGGCCCACTACTTTTTACCATGGGTTTTGAACGGTTGTTGACTCAGACGGTGGGACTGTTTGGCTCAGACACTGTCCAAAGAACCGATTACGTTTCACTTTTAATCTATTGCTTAGCCAAAAATTATTGACTAAATCAATCAGCAAGCAGTTGACTTGAGTGGTCGAACCATCGACCCATTTGATCCAAACAATGATTTACTTTTATTTTTTAAATTGGAACGGACCATCCGTTCGAACCTGATGTCGAACTTCTGACCCGAAAACCGGTGGGCGAAGACGTTCCGATTTGGTTCGATTTTTAAAACATTGCTTTTTACCGGTATTATTCCGTTGTCTCCAAAGGGGCCAAATAGAAATTTTCGCGAAAACTCGTGACGTTTCGGCAAAATAAAAGTCTGATGTCGAGGGACGGACTTTTATAGCCGTGCAGGTGCAGTGCAAGGGGCCGAAAGATTTTTCGCCTAACTCTGAACTCTGAAGTTTGAACTCGATTACGATAGACGATAGTATCGGCAGCGTAAGATTTGAGTGAGTAATTGCTGACCGCCAAAACGAGAATTTGGAGCTTGAAGGAACCGAGGCTGTTCTCGTTATCACTCAGGAGAAGGGGGCGTATTTTAGGGTTTTCGGTGGGGAAGATGCTGGACTGTCTCAGACTCTGGAGCATATATTCTAGCGGAGTGCGGTTGGAGGAAGCTTGATTTATAGAGACTTTGCCAGTTCTAAACCTAAAATTTCTGACTGCCAAAAGGAATTCTCGAAGATCAGAACCGCCGCAGTTTCAATCCCCGCGGCTCAGGCGGCTTTCAATCTCAGGTGCGCAAAAACCCTTAACCTAACCCTCATTTCCTATAAATTTCTTTCTGTATTTCATTAGATCTCTTCTCTGGAGCCCAATAATGGCGGTTGAGGTTCAAGATGAGGGTTTGAAGAAACTTGAATACTTGTCCCTCGTTTCAAAGGTCTGCACCGAACTCGAATCCCATCTTGGGTTCGGTGACAAGGTCTTGGCCGAATTCATCACGGACATGGGTCGAAATTGCCAGACTGTCGATGAGTTCGACGCGAAATTGAAAGAAAATGGTGCCGAGATGCCGGATTACTTTGTTCGAACGCTACTTACTATAATCCATGCTATTCTTCCTCCAATACCTAAAACTGAGAAGGAAAAGAAGAAAGATGCCGCCAATGGTAAGAAGACGGCATTCCCAGGTCTTGCAATTGCAGATAGTAAAGAGAGAGCGAAGGAGCTGGAGAGGGAAATCGAGCAAGAGACGAGGGGACGACGAAGAGATGAAGAAAGTAAACCAAGGGATAGGGAAAGAGACAGAGACAAAGACAGAGACAGAGACAGAGACAGAGACAGAGACAGAGACAGAGACAGAGACAGAGTTAGGGATAGGGACAGGGATAGAGATAAAGAGAGGGATTGGGACAGGGACGGTAGAAGAGATAAGCATAGGGACAGATACAAGGATGAGATGGATGATAGGAGAGACAGACGCAGAGACAGGGATAATGACGATAGAAATGATTCCAGGAGTAGGGCAAGACACAGGGATAGGCATACAGGAGATGGGAGAGATGGATATGAAGAGAACGATTATGATAGGGATTCTAGAGAGGATAAAAGAGACAATAAGAACCGGCAGGACAGCTTTCACCATTCAGATGAGCCCGAACTGTTTAAGGTTTATGCAGGAAGGGTATCCAGAGTGATGGACACGGGCTGCTTTGTCCAGCTGAATGATTTTAGAGGCAAAGAAGGATTGGTCCATGCCTCTCAGATTTCCAGTCGAAGGGTTGCAAATGCAAAGGAAGTAGTGAAGAGGGATCAGGAGGTATTTGTGAAGGTCATTTCAATGTCAGGCCAGAAAATGAGTCTTTCAATGAGGGATGTTGATCAGAACACTGGAAAAGATCTCCTTCCAATGAAGAAGAGTACAGATGATGATGCTTTGAGGGCAAACCCTTCAGGCACAAACCAGGGTCCTGTAACAAGGACAGGACTTTCAGGGATTAAAATTGTGGAAGAAGACAATGCCATCCCTTCAAGAAGACCCTTGAAGCGAATGAGCTCACCAGAAAGATGGGAAGCAAAGCAATTGATTGCTTCAGGTGTTCTAGATGTAAGGGAATATCCTATGTATGATGAAGAGGGGGATGGGTTGCTCTATGAGGAAGAGGGTGCTGAAGAAGAGCTTGAGATTGAGCTGAATGAGGATGAGCCAGCTTTCTTGCAAGGGCAGAGCAGATACTCTATAGATATGTCACCAGTGAAGATCTTCAAGAATCCTGAGGGTTCATTGAGTCGTGCAGCAGCACTGCAATCTGCTCTCATTAAGGAACGGAGAGAGATGAGGGAGCAGCAGCAGCGGACAATGCTTGACTCCATCCCAAAAGATCTGAACCGTCCTTGGGAGGACCCAATGCCTGAGACAGGGGAGAGGCATCTTGCACAAGAGCTGAGGGGTGTGGGTCTGTCAGCCTATGACATGCCTGAATGGAAGAAGGATGCTTATGGGAAAGCCTTGACATTTGGGCAGAGATCAAAGCTTTCCATACAGGAACAAAGACAGAGTTTACCCATTTATAAATTGAAGAAAGAACTGGTTCAGGCGGTACATGATAACCAGGTGTTGGTTGTCATTGGAGAAACTGGATCAGGCAAAACAACACAGGTAACACAGTATCTAGCTGAAGCAGGATACACAACTAGGGGTAAGATTGGATGTACTCAGCCTCGTAGGGTGGCTGCTATGTCTGTTGCAAAGAGAGTTGCAGAAGAGTTTGGGTGTCGTTTAGGTGAGGAAGTTGGATATGCTATTCGGTTTGAGGATTGCACTGGACCAGATACAGTCATTAAGTACATGACTGATGGTATGCTCCTTAGGGAAATTCTGATTGATGAGAGTCTTTCCCAGTACTCTGTGATCATGCTCGATGAAGCTCATGAGAGGACAATCCATACAGACGTGCTTTTTGGCTTATTGAAGCATCTTGTTAAACGGAGACCTGACCTTCGTTTGATTGTCACATCTGCCACATTGGATGCAGAGAAATTCTCTGGTTATTTCTTCAATTGTAATATATTCACCATTCCTGGAAGAACATTTCCAGTTGAAATCCTGTATACAAAGCAGCCAGAAAGTGATTATCTAGATGCAGCATTAATTACTGTCATGCAGATCCACTTGACAGAACCTGAGGGGGACATACTTCTATTTTTAACTGGTCAAGAAGAGATTGATCATGCTTGTCAGTGTCTTTATGAAAGAATGAAAGGCCTGGGGAAGAATGTGCCAGAACTGATAATATTACCAGTCTATAGTGCCCTTCCTAGTGAAATGCAATCAAGGATTTTCGAACCTGCTCCACCGGGAAAGAGAAAAGTGGTTGTGGCTACGAATATTGCTGAGGCTTCTTTGACTATTGATGGGATATTCTATGTTATCGATCCTGGATTTGCAAAGCAGAATGTTTATAATCCCAAACAAGGACTTGATTCGCTGGTCATAACTCCTATTTCACAAGCATCTGCCAAGCAACGTGCTGGACGTGCTGGGCGTACAGGACCTGGTAAATGTTATCGTCTTTACACTGAGAGTGCATACCGTAATGAGATGTCACCCACTACAATTCCAGAAATCCAGAGAATTAACCTTGGGCATACCACACTTACAATGAAGGCTATGGGTATAAATGACCTTCTGTCCTTTGATTTTATGGATCCCCCTTCCCCTCAAGCTCTGATCTCTGCCATGGAGCAACTTTACAGTCTTGGAGCTCTTGATGAGGAAGGGCTTTTGACCAAATTGGGAAGGAAGATGGCAGAATTTCCACTGGAGCCACCTTTGTCTAAGATGCTCCTTGCTAGTGTAGACCTTGGATGCAGCGATGAGATTTTAACTATCATTGCAATGATTCAGACAGGAAACATATTTTACAGACCCAGGGAAAAACAAGCTCAAGCAGATCAGAAGAGGGCCAAGTTTTTCCAGCCAGAAGGAGACCATCTGACTTTACTTGCTGTTTATGAGGCCTGGAAAGCGAAAAACTTTTCTGGGCCTTGGTGCTTTGAGAATTTCGTTCAGTCTCGATCTTTGAGGAGAGCACAGGATGTCAGAAAGCAGCTTCTTACCATCATGGACAGGTATGATGATTCTCCAGTTTCTTTTGTTTAGCCATGGTATTGATGAAATCTTTGATGTTAACTATAAAGTAATAAAATAGTTGATGTTTTCATTTCTTCTCTTAAGATTTTTTTTGCCATACAATTGAGCCCTGTTTGCTGATGACATCATATCATCATTTATTATCTTCCAAGCCTTATCCCAAATATATGCGCTTGGCTACATGAATCCTGTTTCCCCAGTCTGTTCTATTTAATGCCATATCCATTGTTAAATTATTGGCACTTAAATCATTTCTTACTACTACCCATGCCTTTTTAGTCTACCCCTTGCCCTTATAGGTTCTAGCCCTTCAACTTGAATCACTTCTTATGGGTGCTGTTGATGGCCTTCTACGCAGATGATCAAACCCTCTTAGTCTAATTTCTCTCATTTTATCACCTAATATTGGAGCTACTCTTAAGTCCGACCTAAGCTGATGACACTACAAACAAACAAATAACAAAGAAAAAAAGTTAGAAATGATAGCAAAAAGAATCCAAAATCCACCAAGAATTGAACTAATGATTAATTATTTGCATATATTCATTTGTTCCTACATATAATAATTATTGTTGGTTGGATCTGCATTGTATACATTTTGTTATTGTTGTCATCTTTCTAGTAAAGTGATTAATTCCCCTATATCCTTACTCTTTTTTTTAATGAACGGGAAGTTTCTTATGATCTAGAAAATTCTCTTATTATGCTCTTTTTTTGTTCTAATTTTCCTGTCTTTTATGTGCTTGAAGTGTTGAAAATGTTGCACTCAAACCCATCATGCACTGTTCCCGTTTGTTCACTTTTACTGTTTTACATGAATCCTACAAGTCCAATCACACGGGAGACAGTTATAACCATAAATAATAAAATATTTCCTGTTCAAGGACCGTCTGTCTAAACACACACTGGTCGTCTAGTATTTGGTTCACAAGTCGAAGTGGGTGGTGAGGTTATTCTTATGCTTTTACTGCCAATTGCTTCAGCTTCCTACTTCCTGTGTAGGGGTGGAAAATGGGTGGGTTGGGTTGGGTGTGGGTTGAGTACCAATCCAACAATATTGACCCACTAGCCCATTTGCCCACCCATGTTAGTGGACCCACCTTAACCCACCCATTTGACCCTCTAATTCAAATTTTCAAATTAGACTTTTTTTATTTTTTTTCTATTCTAATTGCAAAAAAAAAAAAAACATACAATTATATATTTCAATTACAAAAACATAAAAAAAATTCAATTTTTTCAAATAAAAATAAAAATGCGTAATAATACAATAAATGACAAAAAATATATATTCCTTGTAAATCAGAAATTGCAGAAAAAATTAGAAAACAATAAAATTAAATAAAAGAAAAGATAAATTGTAAAAGCATAGAAAATTGAAGAAAATACAAAAAATTGCAGGAAAATGCTAAAAATTGCAGAAATGCACAAAATTGATAGAAATTGCTGAAATCATACAAATAATAAAAATTTCCAAAAAATTTATTTTTATCTAAAAAATCAGAAATTTCAAAATAATAAATTAAATATAAAATCCAAAAAAATTGTATGTTTCAACTAAAAACAATAATCACAAAAAATACAGAAAATGATAATAGAAATCTCCAGAAATTATACGTTTCAGGTAAAATAGAAATGATTACAGAAGAATGATGAAAATTTTTATATATATTTCAACAAAGAATATAATAAAAGAAAAATTACAGAAAATGATTAAATATAATTGACCGCGGCAGTCACAGAAAACGATTTATCTAAAAAAAACTAAAAAATACATTTTGACTGCGGTGGCGCCTCCTAGATCAGATGGTCCCATTGCACTCGCCGGCATCATCTTGCTCGCCCCTGTTGCTCCTTCCTCCGTTCAATCATCGGCATCAATAACGCTGACAGTAAGCTGGAACCTTCATTTTGCCACTTATTTGAGATCATGGTGCAACGATTCAACAGATTGATGTCGTTGCTGGTGGAGGCGAGAAATGGAGGCAGCGATTTGAGCAAGAAACAATGCACTTGAGCAAGCCCTAAATAGTGAGAATGGTGGTGGCAGGAGTGATCGTTGGTGGTTTTGCAAAGTCCTAAACAGAGAGAGAAGAAAATCCCAACTGAGAAGAAGAGAGAAGAAGAAAGCCCTAACTAATAAACAGAGGAAAAGATTCGAGGGTCAATGGGTAACCCTTGAGCCAACCCCACCCTGACCCTTTCCCCCTGACCCTAATGGGTCACTCGACCCATGTTGACTCATCATTAGAATGGGTGGGTTGGGTGGGTCAGAATTGCCAGCCCTATTCCTGCGTTTTCCTTGAGTGATTTGTATATTAGACTCAAGATTTAGGTCCTTTGAATTATAATGCTATGTATAAGGTGAAACAATGAACCCCATTGAATAATACTTAAATACTTAGGAATCCATTTATCAAAAAAAAGAATAATACTTAGGAATCCAGTCCTTTTATTTTTCAATATATAGATATAAAATTTGCTAGTAATTTCATATTATATTGAGTCCTGGCACTGGTCATTTGCATGGAGGAGAAAACAAAACACAAGGCTTCTGCACCATCTCAGTTAAAATATATATATTTTGGGAGTTGTTCTAATCCATAAATGTTGCATTTTCAGGTACAAGTTGGATGTTGTGAGCGCTGGGAAAAATTTCACAAAGATTAGGAAGGCAATTACAGCAGGATTCTTCTTCCATTCTGCCAGAAAGGATCCGCAGGAGGGTTACCGAACATTAGTTGAAAACCAGCCAGTCTATATTCATCCCAGCAGTGCTCTTTTCCAGAGACAACCAGACTGGGTCATCTACCATGAGTTGGTGATGACTACAAAGGAGTACATGCGTGAGGTTACTGTTGTTGACCCGAAATGGCTAGTTGAACTCGCACCGAGATTCTTCAAGGTTGCTGATCCAACCAAGATGAGCAAGCGCAAACGTCAAGAACGCATTGAACCGCTTTATGATAGATATCACGAACCCAACTCTTGGCGATTAAGCAAACGGCGCGCTTGACAGTTCTTATCGGCTGTTTTACCATGTTCCATTTTTCCTCTTCCATTTAACTGTAAATATTTTCATCAATGGTTAACTACTTTAGATTAATTCCTTGTCTGGGTCTGTTCTTTTGTAACGTTTTTTGTGGATGATCCTGTTTCCTGAACATCTTCTATATTGGAGATGGAAGAGTTGTCATAAATCTATACCTATTATAAAAACGAGAATGGTGCTCTGAGCCTAATTTTTTGTATTCCAAGTCTGCTTCTACCCTTCTTGTTTTCAGTCCCCTTACAGAAATTATCACTCACCCCAATGGATTTCAATAGGGATGCATGCCCAAATTGTATTAAACATTGCGTTTCTTTTTAGCAATTGTAAAGGTCCGTGATCTTTATCTCTCGCGCACACACAACTTCATTCTTGTTGCTTATTTAGTTTTAATGGGTATTGGTTAAACAAGTTAGGGTTTTGAGTTAAATGTAGATTGTGCTTTTCTGATTTTATCTTTAATTAGGTTTAGATTTGTGGACGCAAATCCATTGCTATCTCCAGAAGCGGCAATGACAGTGGGAGCGACTGATTCTTTCTTTTTCAAGGCACTTCGTGGAGTAACACTGATATCGAGTATTGGTCGTACGGTATCTTTTGGTCTTGATACACCCTATTTACAGGTGTTTCAGGACCCATTTATTTCAATAAAAAAAGACTTGGAAAGTGAAAACTTTCCGAAATTTGTTATCAGATGGTATTTGGTTGCATGCAAAATGGCTACAGAAAACATTCACTTTTCAAAAAAAAAAGGGTATAAAACTACAAATTAAAGGAACGTTGCCTTCTAATTTTCTGCACAGTAATTGGTTCTTCCGGATCATATTCTGCAACACATTTTTCAATTACTCAGATTTGTTTTCCATGTTCAATGAAACAGGAAAAATTTTGATACGGTTTTCTGTTCTTTCAACACCAAATTCTACTAGGCCATAACTAGTTCTGGCTTTGCAATTTGGAAAGAGCACGAGTGCATCACCATCGTAAGACTTGAGATTGGCCATAGTATTGAACAACGCGATTCATTTAGTTAAAATTCGAGCAAATTATACTTCTAGGTTGACCTCAGTGGGGTCTTTACAGAGATATATGGTGAAAAGTTACTGCTTTGCCTATCTTTGATTTTTCATTCTCTGGCACTCTCATATTTCCGATCACTTTGTTTTGTCAATGAAAGGGTAGTGACACTGTAATTTTAGAAAAACAGAACCACCAAAAGGAGCATGGTCAACTCCTATCACTAAGCCAGCAGTGACTCAACAGAACTAGGTCGTGCTCTGAATGAACTGGAACTGCACCCCTGGCATTGCTGGTGTAATTGAAATCTTTCAATTGTGCACTTATCCTTCTATACTTAAATGTGTTATATAACCTACAAATGTTAGGTTTCAAAGAGCTTTTATTGTGAATTGTTGCAATTGCCTTTCTCCTTCCTGAAAATGCATAAAGCTCAACTCAACTCCATTAGATCTAATACTGAAGAGCTACCATAAAAACATATTCTTCCGGTTTTTGTCACATAAGGTGAAAATTTAATTACCAGAGAAAATCTAAATGTGGCATTTCCATACTAAAGCATTTCTCAATGAATTTGCCTATTTCAGTTTTCAAGGAGATTGATTAAGTGGAGCCACAATTGACAGATGCAATTGCAATCATCAACACCATGATAACAAGCAGAACAATGGACTAATAAGAATTACATGATATCACTGTTACACATTTGATTCTGTAAGTGGGGAGTGGTAATTTTGACATGACCAACCAACTGCTTCTTGGTTATTCCAGGTTTGGGATGGCTAATCTCATCCATTCAAAATGGGATCATATTTGAGTGAATCCAGTTTCAAACGAGGATCAATTCAGTTTCCACCACATTCTTTCTTTATAGAAGATCACAACTAACAGGCTGGGATTTTTTTTGGCTGTTAATAACCTGGTAACAATCCAGCCCCGTAACCCAACCAGTCAGTCAACCATTGCCGCCTTTAGTTACAGCAAGAGAGATAGGACCAACAAAAGCAAGATTTGCAGATTAGTCGGCCTATAGATGTCCCTATAGCGACACAATGAACACACATAAAGCCTAATTCTATCAGACTATCCCCAATGTTGGTAACAGAAAAACAACATACAAAATCTATTTCTGTTCTCCACAATAAAACCTTGAAACATAAATTGAACAACATAAAAAAAAGGGAGCAACCGGAAAGCCAAAATGAAAAAAAGATATAAACTTCAGTACCTTTGATCACGAGGATGCAAAAGAGCTGGTGAACCCACTTTTAAGGAGTCTCTCTACGTACTTCCCAAGTATATCCACCTCCAAATTCACCTTCTGCCCAATCTTCTTCAGAGGAATGACTACCTTCTGCTGTGTATAAGCAACCAACATGAAATTAAAGCATTCCTCCTCATCAAACACCTTGACGACAGTCAAGCTTGTCCCGTCCACAGCTATAAACCCTTTCGGCACAATGTACTTCAACAACTCCGGCGACGTTTTAACCTTCACCCACAGAGAATCTCCTTCTGGCTCCATGGAAACAATCTCACCAGTTCCATCAACGTGGCCCTGGACGAAATGCCCACCCATACGAGTAGACGGTTGGAGGGATCGCTCCAAATTAACGAGAGAACCCGGAACAAGCTCAATGAGTGAAGTCTTCCGGAGGGTCTCAGGCGAGAGACCCACCGAGAATTCTGACGTCTCCTTGTCGAATTCGGTCACGGTGAGGCAGGTGCCATTGACGGCGATGCTGTCCCCAAGCTTGACATCTTCAAGAACTGTTTTTGCTGAGATTTTCATCTCAAACCCGCCGTTCTTGACGAAACCCAGTTGCTTGATTTCGCCCATCTCTTCGACAATTCCAGTAAACATCGACTGAATTTGATTATAACGAGAGAGGTTGCAGCGGTCAAGATATTTGACTTGGAATTTGGGTCTGTGGCTAGTGAAGAAGGTAAAGGACGATCTGAAGCTGAGATGGGTTGCAGAGGAAACACGCAACTGAGGATTTGAGATGAGGTTCTTTGGTGGTTGATCAAACCTTAGATATTTGGATAACGAGAATGTGAGATAACAGCAAGAACAAACCGCCATTTTTCTCCTCGTTCTTGGAAGGAAAAAAAAAAGGGTAAAATACAAAAATCTCCCCTCAAGTTTCTGACAATCATAGGAACCTTTCCTATAGTTTTATTTTAACAAAAGCCTCCTCTTTATTTTTGAAAAATTCAACAAATACCTCCCTTCCGTCAATGATCAAGACGGAAAACGTAAAGAGATTATCATTTTTTCAAAATACCTATTTTACCCATCTCTCTATGATCGGCTCGAATACTGTTCATCTTCTTCCTCACACGCATTGCGGCAGAATGGCGGTGCACTCTCCCCTCCAGAAGATTGCAATAGACTTCTCCATCAAGGCACTCCACTTACCTCCTCACAACAAGAATAGATTCATCGAAATCCAAAAAGGCTTCCCCTATTACCTTTTGAAAAGGACAATGGCGTCGTTGGTTCTCGGAGACCGAAATCCAAAGAAATCACTTCTAGGTACATGTCCCCTTCCACTTCCACCTCTTCTATTTCTTCCTCTTCTTCTAGACAATGCCCACCTCCTCTTGTTTTGAGGTCCACTACCTTGACAACCGCTTCAACACCATTGTCGTCTTTGATCAAACAGTCTCAGTCTGCTGAGTAGAGGCGTCTGGTCACTCCTCGACCCACCACCCAACTTGCCTGATTCGATGAGGATGGGCAATGCTGCCGAAGTTTCAGTAGCTTCAAGAGTTTATTAGTTTCGTTTCATGGGGAGTTGTTCTCACTTCCGATTAGTAAGATGAAGGCTGCTCCAACGCCCAATTTGGCTAATACTAGAAAGACTACACCGGAGCAGAGGAGGACAACGCCATTGATAGGGAAGATTGATGGTCCTGGAGGAATAGATCAGATGGAGAACTCAAAATCCATTGATCAGCAACGTTGGCTGGGCAGAACTAGAACGACAAGTCCTTTAACAAGAAGTTTAGATTACACTATTGACAAGAGAAAAACTCATTGGATCTAGAACCGTGGTTCATGCATTGCAGCAATCAATGATCTAGAACCGTGGTTCATGCATTACATCGGGATACAAGCATTGCCGACTTTGTAAAGACTGCTCATCATGCAATGGATGCCAATTCCACAAACTCCCGTTGAGGTTTGTAACCGCAGGTTTTTTTTTTTTCAAAATTACATGGGGGTTTGTTAAATTAAAATCATAGTTCATTCTTTTCTCAGCAATCTTTCTCTGACTCTCCTTTTGTTTTCATTCCAATATTCTATTTCCACCTAAATCAGGTCCTTTAAGACCTTGAGTTGATCTCTTTTTCTGGGAGGAGAACATAGGTGCATTCTCGATCTTGAATTTTCTCTTTTGATTTGTCTGGTAGAAATTTGTTTTTTTGAGAGTTTGGTGTAGGGTCCTTGCATCCCCTTTTTTTCCCTTGCAAAGTTTGTATTATACAGATGAGTTGCTTTTCTTGTACGAGTCCTCAGGGAAAGGATGTAAGAAAAATTGAAGACAGTAACAACGTTCGATCTCGCTCTCGCCATTTCTGTAGTTCTTCAGGTCACTCTCTATTCCTTCATTTCTCTTTGTCGATTCAAACCTTCTGTTGATCTCCTTACCATTACTTTGGCTTACAGGAACCCGTTTGCAATGGATGCCAATTCCAAAAATGGGTCATTAGTTCCCTTCGATCTCACTGCATTTGATATTGAGAGTGTCTCCTCTGGTAGAACTTCTAGAGTACAGGAGCGCAATGGGGTTTCTCAAGCTTGGGTTGGGCCTCATGGAATCAATGTACCTGCTAGGTTTTGGTAGGAAACAAATAGCCGGTTGCGGCATTTACAAGACCCTGGTTTGCCATTGTCGACGAACACTAGTTCAAGGATGACAGCTCTACCAAAACTTATTTCATCCAAGAAACCATTGAGTTTAAGCGATAGTCCCATATCATCTCCTCGGACTATCTCTACTACCGGCAGCAGGACGTTGTCAGATATTGGTGGGTTGCAGCATCTTTCGTGATGAGGAGGAACAAAGTGGCTTGTGGGGAAGCCTTAGACAGAGAAAAGAAGAAGAGGGAGAGCAAGAGGAGACGTAGAGATGCCATTGATGAATAATGAAGAATGATAGAGAGAGGGGGAATGATGAATAGTGCTATTTCGTGTTGGTGGAGAGAGAGAGAGAGAGAGAATCAGAGGGAAATTCAAGAAGAGGGAAGGTTGGAGGGGGAGTGCACCACCATTCTGTCATTGTGAGTCGTGAGGAAGAAGATGAATAGTGTTCCAGATGCACATTAATTCGTAAAAGGGTAAAATAGGTATTTTGAAAAAATATCATCTCTTTAACATTTTATGTCTTAATCATTGACAGAAGGGAGGTATTTGCTGAATTTTTCAAAAATAAACGGGAGGCTTTTCCTAAAATGAAACTATAGGGGAGGTTTTTATGATTGTTAGAAACTTCAAGGGAGGTTTTTGTATTTTACCCAAAAAAATAAAAAAAGATTCTTACTATGATACCGAAAAGATATGATATCGGAAAAACTTTAGACTTTAAGGTGAAAATTTGGTTTAAAGGTTTCAAGGTGTCATTTTTTTTTCTGTTAGTAAAAAAATAAAAACCAAAATAGATATAAAAAGAAAGGGGCTTTTGTATAAAAATTAACAAAGTTACGATTATTGACAAAATCAGATATTTTTGAAAAAAAAAATTCAAAACAGTGAATCGTACAAAAAGCTTATTATTTATGACCAAATTTCCCTTATTAAAATCCCATCCATGGTTTTCAAAACCGGACTAGACCGGGAAAACCGGGACCGGTTCCATTTCCCCCCAAACTGGATTTTCTCAAAAAACTGTTGATTTTGGTCAGCAAACCACTGAACTGGGTGGTTAACCGTTTGAACCATTTTGACTGTTTTCTATTGTTTTTAAAATTTTTTAAAATTTTATATTTTTATGTCAGAATGGGCCGACCATTCGACCCGATAACCGGACCCCTAACCGGTTCGGTCTCTGAGTCGATTTTAAAAACCATGATCCCATCCATTAATCATTAGGCCAAACTTTTTCTTTTTTTCTTTCATTATCTCTCTTTGGTGTCTTTCTTTTTTTATCTCCCTCCTCACTTTGTTAGACCATTTGTTTATTTTTCTATCATTTTTTTCATATTTTTCTTGTATGTTGATATGAAGTTGGAGGCTTCTATATTGTAGAAAACATGGCTCAAGCTCCTTACAATGGGAAGATAGGACTTGTGTAGCCGACTACAAATATCTCTTGCAAGAATGCCCTCTATACTTCCTAGAGAGTAAAAACCCTAGAAATTCATCGTTGTCTTGCAACTTTACGTGTTGTTGTAGTCATGGAGACTGCTAGAACGATAAAGGATGTTTTGCCTCATGAATTCGTGAAAGCGTATGTTGCTCATCTCAAATGATCGGGGAAAATGGAGCTTCCTTGCTCACCAGATTGATATTATGAAACACCATCCGGTCTTAGGAATCATACAAAACCTTGTGGTTTATTGGGTTCTAGGTGTATTTGGTGGTATAACTACAACTAGATCGTCAGGGCGATAGATGTTTCCAACTATAAATGATGTTCCAAACTTGCAAGCAATCATCCAGTCTTTTCAATGTCTTATGGTTTTTAAATCTTTAATACACTATCCAGTCTTCCCCATACCAGATGGTCTATGCATCTATGAAAATCATATATAACCATGTGGTTTGTTTGGTTTTAAAGGAATTTGAGTGTGTTAGATCACCTGTATAATTGATTATTGTAACTAGGGGTAAGCAAATGGGTAGGTTCTATGTAAAACCAACCTAAAACCAACCTTAAACTGACCCTATCCAATTTGTTAAAGGTCCTTTGCTTTTGATAATTGTCTAGATTAATAAATTGTATGACAGTCCTATTTGAATAAAGCGTCAAGTTTTGCATTTGATAGGGCCATTAACTTTGGCATGGCCACTCGAACTTCTGCTGATATGATGACACTCACTACAACTGCTGCAACATGTAACGTATTACATCCAATCTTACTATAATTCAAGCTCTTCAGTTCAGATTGACATGAGCTACAAGCTGATTAGTAGAAGCCAAAACTTGGATTCACTCATCCATTCAATGCATCTCACTCCTCAGTGATAAAACCAGGCTGAAGTGGGTGCTTTAAGTCTGAATTATGCCACAGATTTGAACAGTAGTAATTGAACTATTTCAATATCCTGATTATTGTTCTAAGCTTGAAATCTGGTGCATCATGAACAGTAAGGCATTCACATAGACTGATAGAAATTTGTGTTTATGTGCATTAATTCTCCATGCATATACATTAAGTAGACGTAGTTGAATCCATAGAAGCACTCCATGCATGCAAGTATACGCCTAGTTTCTTTCATTTAACCAAGGTTTTGTTTTTTCTATAATTTGATTGCTTTGTAGTTGTTGTAGTTGCTAATCTGGGTATTGACGCTACTAGGTCTAAGAGGAGTTGCAGTGCTTAAATCAAGAGCTACAGCTGATACATGCTTCTCAAGGGAAAAAGAAATGCTTGCCCGAGGGACCCAACTATCAGTGTGCACATCGTTCGGTGAGCAAGAGACTATTTGAATGAAAGAGAGAGAGAGAAGGTTCTTAGTTGATAATTTCTATGGATTTCATGCTGGGCGTACACAATTTAGGTTGGTATGCATCTACATCAAGAACAATAAGCTCATCCATAGACTGCTGGGAAAGTAGACTGGGAAAGAAATGCCTAGGAGGATTTCTAACAACTTCTAAGGAGTGTAAGATCTCTTCACCTTTATAGCATGTTTATATGTATGTAATTTGTGTCTCAGAGAATGCATTTTACTGTAGAAATGGTGCCCTCTTTTAGATTAATTTATTATTTGATTTGTTTAGTTTTCTGCTCTGTCCAATGTTGTTCTTATTGTTCAGCCCAACTCTACTTGGGTTTTCACACTCATTTACTTAATTTTCTCAGACAAGATTATCAATGTGATGGAGGAAAGAAAGGAAGTTCAAGGTTTCTACTGGCTAAGCCTTAATACCAAGTGGAGGCAATATCTATTTATTGTTCGA